ACATTACACCATTGTCTGAAATATATGAAAAACGTGTTGCTCTTAAGATAAACAAAATTATGAATGACCCTACACACCCCCTTCACAGTTGCTATAGTTTTAATAGATCAGGTATAAGACTTTGCCCTCCTCGTACACTGCGTTGTCGCTACAGAAACTCATTTGTGCCAAATTTCATCCATATTTTTAATGTTGGTGTTAAAAGATAAATCTAAGTTTTACTTTTTAATAAATTTTAAAATTGTTTAACTTTTTAAAAATTTATTGTTTTAGACCAGTTTTTTGGTATGTTGCCTTGTTGTATTTTTTTTATTGTTACTGTGTGTTCATATACGTTTCTTTTTAATTATTGTAATTTTTGAAATGCTGTACAGCCAAAATTTCTTTGTATGTATTATGAAGACAAATAAAATTTCTTGAATCTTGAATCTTGAATACTATTCACGCCGATCTATACCGATACCGTGCGACAGCAATGTTATCAGCTCATGCCCCGACTCATCTTCCACCTCCGAAGCTAAACACTGCGAATCATATTCTGCTCGAGTAAAGCTCAACGGTACGACATATAAAAATGCGCATTGCGCGTCATACAATAATGTTGAAGTCAGAAGCCTCAATTGTACGAATGTCGAGACCGAGAAGAAAACGATGATTTTAATTAGTGTTGGCCAACCTAAATCATTGTCAATTCTCTTCGATTTTTCTTTAAGTGGCAATGCTCAAGTAAGCAGAAGTGACTACACTGTACCGGAAATACATGGTTCGTGTGAACCCAATGAAATATATAATCCATTTGAAGAAAAATGCGTCGTTCTATCATGTGCCGAAGGTATGATTTTCATTGACGATGAATGCCGTCCCCTAAAGGCAGAGAAAAATTTGAACACATGTGAAACCTCTTCTTTGATCGTTGATTACATCACATCTGACAATACGACGTCCGGAATACAGTGTCTTGAAGAAACTTTAGATATACATGACCTAGACTTTACAAATATGAATGTTTCTCAATGCAATGGAGGCAATTGTTTCCACATGAATCTGCAGATCTTGGACGTAAATTCCTCTCTACCCGAAGATTTAAATAAATTGTTTTATAGGTCATTTCTTGAGAAAGACTTATTGGGTAGTCTGTGCAATATTTCCTCTATAGATGTGGTACACTTGTGCCGCAATGTTCCTCGTGACACGTGCAATTCTACCATCAATGAAGGTAAGGTTGCAAGTTCATTAAAATCGATCTCTGGATCATATGACATTGATTGGAGGTATGGATTCTGGTATGACACAGATAGACAGATTTACATCACGTCATCAAATGTCCGTACATGTAATTCCAACGTTAATACAAATCTGAAATGCCCATTCGTTATATACCCATCTAATGAATTCCGCGAGCATAGTAACAAAGCAGACCATATAGTCCATAATGTTTCTGGGAACATTTATGGCCCAGCTGAATTTGAGAACTTGAACAATGGAAGCATTTTGGTGTGCAATATTTCCTCTATAGATGTGGTACACTTGTGCCGCAATGTTCCTCGTGACACGTGCAATTCTACCATCAATGAAGATAAGGTTGCAAGTTCATTAAAATCGATCTCTGGATCATATGACATTGATTGGAGGTATGGATTCTGGTATGACACAGATAGACAGATTTACAGCACGTCATCAAATGTCCGTACATGTAATTCCAACGTTAATACAAATCTGAAATGCCCATTCGTTAAATACCCATCTAATGAATTCCGCGAGCAAAGTAACAAAGCAGACCATTATAGTCCATAATGTTTCTGGGAACATTTATGGCCCAGCTGAATTTGAGAACTTGAACAATGGAAGCATTTTGGTGTGTCCCGATCTGAACCCTACACCCGAAGCTGTTAATAGCACGAACCCTGGTAGCGCAAACATGCAGAGCATGTTAACTGTAGTAGGTACAGTTCTCTCGCTAGTAGCATTATTTTTAACGTTTATGTGTTATTGTTACTTTAGAACCCTACGGACACTGCCCGGTAAATCCGTTATGAACCTTGTCATCGCGTTGTTTTTCTCAATGTTTATTTTTATTGTCGGATCTGCTCAAACACAACATGTCACTCTATGTACCATTGTTGCTGTCTTGCTACATTTCTTTTGGCTTGCATCTTTCTTCTGGATGAACGTTCTCGCATTCGATGTCCGTCGAACGTTTAACTATAATTGTAATTTACCAAATGCACATCGCAATCGTAGAACCCTGATCGTGTATGGTCTGTACGCGTGGGGGTCTCCAGCTATCATTGTTGGTACGTGCCTAGCTATCATAGGCCTATATTCACCAGTAGAAATTGGTGTGTATTATGGCAACAGCGAAGTCTGTTTTCTTGGTAATAATACTGTGAATCTCATAGCTTTCGGAGGTCCAGTTGGCCTAACCTTATCTTGGAATGCGATTTTCTTCATTTTGACCGTATCTTCGATTAGGAAAACCAAGCAAGTAACGAAAGCAGTTCAGAAAAACAAAACGAAAACGAAATCAAGGCTGACAGAACTGCTGATATATATTAAGGTAAAATAATACTATACAATAATACCAATGTAAACAACACATAGGCCTATAGTTAAAAGTCAATTATCTATATCAAAATCAATTAACCAATTTACCAAAATGTGGAAGCGGTTGATGGTTTTGTTTCCCATCCACTTTTACTTCAGTTTACCCAGTTGTATTAATGGGTACCAGCAAATTACTTGAAGTAGGCCTAACCTGCGGTCGACTAGCGTCCCAACCAGGGGGGGAACATCACACTCTCATCTGCTTTACGCTACAGAAACTGGGGATAAGTTCCAGCACTATGAGCCCAAGTGGCTCGGCAAGGATTTACTACTACTTTACCAAAATGCAAATGTGTGCATTATTTTACATCTTATTCAGATTCAAATTTACTTTTTAAAGTATTCATAATGAACTAACACAGATCATATGGAATTGGTTACATAAATGAGATTCCAACATCCACAAATTATGCGTTTACCATTATAAATTTGCTTGTATTTCACAGCTATCAACGCTGATGGGTATGTCTTGGATACTCGGATTCGTCGCAACAATTACAAACTCTGTTGTCATCTGGTACATATTCATCGTCCTAAATTCGTTACAAGGAGTCTTTGTTTTTATATTTTTCGTGTGCAATCACCGGGTTTATAAACTCATTAGAAAGGGGAACGGTGAGCCTTCTTCAAAGACTAGATCAACTGATGCGAAACCTGGGCGACCAGACTACAGTGATGTAAAGAAAATGAGTACAACTTCAAAGTGACTGGTACAGTGTTCTTATAATACATAGTACAGTATAGTATTATAGTATAATACATTCAACATAGTATTATATAGAACATTATTCATTTACTGTACATTAATGTCTAATTAAAAGAAATAATTTAAATTCCGCTTGCAATGAGTGAATTTCAGAATAATTAATAACAGAGTTATGATTTCATACGGTAGTATGACTCAGTTGAATTAGTTGAGTTAACAAACTTCTAATAGGCTGATAATTAAAACAAAACAAAAGAAAGTAACACTAGGATAAAGCGTTTGTATTAATAGGCCTAGATGTACGTATTTAAATAAATATGATTAGCTCTCAATGACAAACCAGGTCATAGTATATGCTGTATAAATGGAGTGCTAATTGGATTCTATTTCGGTGTAATTAGGCCTCCTATTTAATGACGACGAATGTGGCAATTAATGTAAAGCTGGTAATACAACTGCGTAGCTTTAAAAAAAAAAGAAGTCTTTCATCACTTAGGCCTACCGTACATCCAAGTTCTGATTAGACCACCGCTATTTTTGTATTTATTAACATTTATTTATTTATATATCCATATTTATTTTACAATGTATTACAAATTAACCCGTAGTTTCGGTATAAAACCACAATTGATAATGCCAACTGAAAATGAACACCTTACGAGTAAGTTGTATGTTATTTCCAGTATTTAATATTGTTTAATCATTGAGAAAATAGAACAGTTTTCTCTATGGTTTAATCGTACTGTACGTACACTATATTTTGAATATAGAGTTAGTTATACAAGTAATAATGCTTTGACGATTGACTGTACAAGACATACGCGATGCTCAATAATGTTATATTCGTACTCATACATATTACTTCTATGGCCCTATTCATTCACTTTCTTGCTCCTCTTGACGAGTTCTGCTACCACTTTTCCTCCAACCTTTCCTGTCGAACGTAAAGTTCTTTTGCAAATTTTTTCGCACGAGGAAGTTCAGTAGGGCTACTCGTTTGTTTAGCTCTCGTCAGCCGTTAGGCCCTATTAACTTTATGATATGTTAACTTACTATTGCTTAAGACGATAGAATATCAAAATATAATAGGTTTGCAGTTTGTATATTCATATGTATATCAAAGTAATGTTACTTATAGGCCTACCTTCGATGTTGTGTATTGATTTAGTGTTTGGATGTTATATTTCTCCTAATTTTTCAAAATAAATAATATGTCACTATTTACTAAATTACTAGTAATTAATTTCGGATGACGACCGTGACAGTGATTATAATGATGGGCCTAATTGATGATGACGATGATGATGGTGATGATGACGACGACGTTGTCAATGATGAACGTAACGATGATAATTTCGATTTTTTTACAAAAGGAGGGGAGTTATTGCGTTGCAAATTGGGTACTAACGTTTAAGTTAAGGTTAACGTCGTGCGGCGAAAACTACCTAGTTAAAATGATGGTCATATTGGAGGTAATCTGTTATATTACTATTATATTAGACATAGAATGTAAAAATATACATATAGGTCTACTTTGCTGAAATGTGAATGTCTGCAGTCTGTGTTTATATCTGTGTATATTAAAATACTTACACTTAAATTATTTTAAAAATTGTTGCGATAATTTATATTGATTTAGATTTGAGATTTTATGTTCTATAATGTTTCAAAATAAAAAAGAAATCACTATTTACTAAATTACTGTAATTTATTTCGGATGATTATGACAACGGCGATAATAATGATAGATTATGATGATGATGTGTGGGGTGATGATTATGACGATGCTGATGACATAGAATGTAAAAATATACATATAGGTCTACTTTGCTGAAATGTGAATGTCTGCAGTCTGTGTTTATATCTGTGTATATTAAAATACTTACACTTAAATTATTTTTAAAATTGTTGCGATAATTTATATTGATTTAGATTTGAGATTTTATGTTCTATAATGTTTCAAAATAAAAAAGAAATCACTATTTACTAAATTACTGTAATTTATTTCGGATGATTATGACAACGGCGATAATAATGATAGATTATGATGATGATGTGTGGGGTGATGATTATGACGATGCTGATGATGAAGGTTAATTATTAAGATGATGGTTATAACGGAGTACGTTATAATTTCAGGATTTTACCTGCTCGACGTACGTTAGTTACGGGTTTGCAAAAGCTTATTTCGATTTGTTTACAAAAAAGAGAGGAACTATCGCGTTGCACGTTGGGTACTAACGTTAAAGTTAAGGTTAACGTCGTGCGGCGAAAACTACCTATTTACGTACTCCGCAACCCAAGATGATTAAATTATGACGTCATCCGTTAACGTTAAGGTTAACGTCGTGCGGCGGAAACTACCTAATGAACTGCGATCAATACCATTCCACCACTGAGTTAATTCTCTGCCAAGGGTCGACTGAAGTCTTGATGTGTAGCTAATCTATATTATCTACTATTATAATTATGCTTATTTCAAAACCTACAATCACAGTACTACACCTAGGACCTCAGATAACGTCTGGGATTCGAAACCTATCGGTCTGAAAAAGTGTAACAACATAGATCATCGAAGTATCCATCTCAGGAAGTGAATAATTCTATATATCAGCTTTAAAGAAGAATAATGAATTTACTGTCGTTCTTCATTGGATCTTTAGCAGTTTTGAGCACATGGCTTTGTTTAGGCCTGTAGGTAGGTATAATGGTTTGCTTACGTACTTCCGCATTTTCTCAGTTGATTCTGTTGTTCTATATATGGAAAGCCAAAAGACAAACTTTAAAAGTACGTGCTTCCTCATCCCATTTAATTGGAATACCAAAAGATCAACTTTCAAACACAGTCAAAGTTCAAGCACACTCGGTATTCACACACAATCGAGAAATATCTGAGCCAGATAACATGCAACATTCAAACCTATCTTCTTTTAGTTTCCATTTTTTTGTTCTGTTTTATAAAAACTAATGGCGACGTTTATACTAGAGAGTAATGCAACCTACCTTCTTTTAATGTTAATTTTTTGTTCTAATCTCGACGGTCACATACTAGAGGATGTAGCAAGCGAAGCGAGCGCACCCTTTAGTACTTGGAAAGGGAAAGGAGTACGTCACAGCGACATCGTTAATGAAATTGGTCTGAGCAATATAAACAATCAAGGCAGCATCATCTAAAGTTGTATTTACGTAATGGTTAACCTAACAATGGTGACCAGGGCGTAGTGCACAACGAGTTACAAGGTAAACATACAGTTATGTGACGTCATTCTCGGAAACAATACGTTAGGTTTAGTTAAAAATATCGTTTTCTCACAACCAAATTGACAAAACACACCTCAATGACAGTCAGCACTAAATAATGAAAAAGAACAAAAAATTAAATTAATAACAACGAACATTACAAAATTGCAATTGTTCAATTATGATTAATTAAATTTTAATTAATGTAATAGGCCTACAGTATTTCACACACACACACACACACACACACACACACACACACACACACACACACA